TCTACCCTATTTTATACGAGCACTTGGAGTTGGAATTGACTTGATGATAGTGAATTGTTGTTTGTTATAATCTCCATGGAAAGGAGCCTGTTGGTACTGTCAGATAAGTGCTATCCACAAGGTAGGCTGTCCAAAGCCACCAGATACTCTGGAGAGAAAGATCAGCCTATCTTCTTTTAACTTTGACTTCCTTAAAAATTTTACATAAGGTCATTATGAGTTAGAATCAACTCGTGGCAGTGGGCTTAATGTTTTTGAAAGCAGACTGACATGTATTTGTCCTCACAAGAAGCTGGTGGGTTCAAATTCTGAACATTTCAGTCAGCAGACAAGCATTACAACACTGTGCCACCAGGGCTTTTAGCCAGTGACTATAGAAAGCAAACATTTGGATAAAAAATAGAGACAATTGATACAATCAGTGGAGTGCTGCGTGTTCTCCATGAATATCCTAACATCAACACGATCAAGGGAATTGTTTCTCACCTTAAAGCCATCCCATCAAAATGTAAAGAAATGTTCTACGTTCTATGCTTCCATGCCAGTTCACTGAATGGTTCTAAGCAGAAGTAAATAAAGGTAAAAAAGTGGCCATCTAGCTCAGAAACAACAAAGCCCACATGGAAGAACACATCAGCCTGAGTGAACACGAGATGCGGAAGGTTTCAGTTATCTGGCACCAAAGAACAAAAAATCATATCATTGTGTGCTCACCTCCATGATACGATCACTGAAGACAAATGGGTGCATAAGCAAATGTGATGAAGAAAGCTGATGGTGCCCGGCTATCAAAAGGTTTAGCGTCTGGGGTCTTAAAGGCTTGAAGGTAAACAAGCGGCCATCTAGCTCAGAAACAACAAAGCCCACATGGAAGAAGCACGCCAGCCTATGCAATCAAGAGGTGTTGAAGGGATCAGGTATAAGGCATCATCAGAACAAAAAAATCTTACCATAGTGAATGATGGGGGGAGTGGGGAATGGAGACCCAAAGCCCATTTGTAGGCCACTGGAGATCCCCTTGCAGAGGGGTCTTGGGGAGGAGACGATGAAAAATACAACTTTCGTCTAGTTCCTAAATGCTCCCCCCCCACACACCCAACTATCATGGTCCGAATTCTACCTTGCAAGTCTGGCTAGACCAGAGGATGTACACTGGTACAGATTGGAAATGGAAACAGAGAATCCAGGGCAGATGATCCCTTCAGGACCAGTGGTGCGAGTGGCGATACTGGGAGGGTAGAGGGAGAGTGGGTTGGAATGAGGGAACCAATTACAAGGATCTATATGTGACCTCCTCCCTGAGGGACGGACAACAGAAAAGTGGGCGAAGAGAGATGTCGGACAGGGCAAGATATGACAAAATAATAATTTATAAATTATCAAGGGCTCATGAGGAAGGGGGGAGGGCGGAGGGAGGGAAAAAAACTGAGGACCTGATGCTGGGGGCTTAAGTGGAGAGCAAATGTTTTGAGAATGACGAGGGCACTGAATGTACAAATGTGCTTTACACAATTGATGTATGCATGGATTGTGATAAGAGTTGTATGAGCCCCTAATAAAACAATTAAAATATAATCAGTCACTTATTTCTTCCCATTTGATTGGAAAAGGTATATCCAGAAAAAGAGGGCCACGTATCCCAAAAATTGGGTGCTTGTTTGGAATTTCTAAAGGTGGAAATTGGCCAAATCTCCCATTTGGAAATAAAATTGGCTTTGGCCTCAAGGGAGTTTGAAAGAGTTGGAGGAGGTAAGTTTGAAAATCTTGAAAATCTTCTAAGAGGAATTTGCTTTAAATATTTTTTAAATCGAGAGAGGATCTCAATTACATCTGCAAAAAGCTCACAATAGTTCTGAAAACTGCTCTTGCAAAGTGGTGTTTGAAAGCAACCTTTGAAAAAATAACCATGCTCTTTGGCTCAGAAATCATACTCTAGGGAATTATTTGGTTCTACAGATATATTTCAAATGAATGTTGTTGTTACTATACAATTTATAATGGTAAACATTTCAAATAAACTTTAAGTGCAATGTTTGTGTAAATTATACAACATTAAGTTAGTAGATTACTATGTATCCATGAAATTTCATAAAATTGGAACCTGAAGCAACTTGAAAATTGTTTACACTGTAAAAGTAGATGTAAAAATGAAAAAGCTTTTGAGAGATCTCAAAGAAGTGAGAGTAATTACTATGCTGAATAGTGAGAGTCTGATCATATTGGCAGAATCTAGATTTAGGCCGTAGAAGAGAGATTAAGACAGGTAGAAATGCTATTATCACAATCCCAACCTGGGAGGAAGAGTAGAACCTCTTATGACGGAATGAATGAACCACACTGAGGTAGTAAGTTTATTGTGCCAACCTGGTTGATAAGCACATCTGGGGTTAATTGAAGGGTGGAGGGATAAATGGCTCCGTGAACTTCGACTTTCTAGTTCTTGGGTCTCTTGTTCTGTGTTGGTCGGACCAGTGTGCTGCTGCCTTAACCAGTTCCCTGCTTCAACTTACAAGGCTCCCTTCCAGCAAGATATCCCCAAGTAGAAGCCACATGGACCTACCCCGATGGAGCCCTGGGTGCTAGAGCAGCCTTGTGGAGACCCCTGCCAGCGCTGAGATGCTTACATATTCACTGACTCAGCTTTCCTCCTGCAGTAGGCATCATTGCGTCTGTTTTGTGAGATGGAGGAAGACTTTGTGTATTGGTGTTGGACACATGGGTTAATGGGTTAATGTTGGACTTGGGGTTTGGGCAGCACTGGGTAGGGATGTTTTCTTGATCGGCACTTATATAAAACTCTCTTATACATGAGTTTCTGTGGATTTGTTTCTCTAAAGTACCCAGACTAACACACACATCAAGCAAATAAAAGTAGATGGGAATGATGGCACAGTAATTTTTTTTTAATTAGCCTATGTGTTACTGCAGATTTTGGAATTCAACTCTTTATGCCTCTACCAAAAATGCTATCTGTAAAAGAATGCCCTGGAAATAAATCTGTGGTTACTTTCTATATGGTTTTACTTAATGGTTCTGGTTCTCATGAAATAGTTATGCCATTGATAATTTATAAATTTTTATTGTCATATCTTGTTGTCTGATGTCTCCCTTCACCCACTTTTCTGTTGTCTGTCCCCCAGTGAGGAGGTCACATGTAGATCCTTGTAATTGGTTCCCCTTTTCCAACCCATCCTCCCTCTACCCTCCCAGTATCACCACTCACACCACTGGTCCTGAAGGGATCATCCACTCAGGATTCCCTGTGTTTCCAGTTCCTCTCTGTACCTCTGTAATCCTCTGGTCTAGCCACACTTGCAAGGTACAATTGGGATCATGATAGTGGGAGGGCGGGGGGAGGAAGTATTTAGGAACTAGAGGAATGTTGTATTTTTCATCGTTGCCACATCGCACCCTGACTGGCTTGTCTCCTCTCCAAGACCCCTCTGCAAGGGGATCTCCAGTGGCCTACAAATGGGCTTTGGGTCTCCACTCTGCACTCCCCCCTCATTCACTATGGTAAGATTTTTTGTTCTGATGATGCCTTATACCTGATCCATTCAACACCCTCGTGATCGTGATCGCACAGGCTGGTGTGCTTCTTCCATGTGGGCTTTGTTGCTTCTGAGCTAGATGGCCACTTGTTTACGTTCAAGCCTCTAAGACCCCAGACGCTAAACTTTTTGATAGCCAGGCACCATCAGCTTTCTTCGTCACATTTGCTTATGCACCCATTTTTCTTCAGCGATTGTATCATGGAGGTGAGCACACAATGATATGATTTTTTGTTCTTTAATGCCTGATAACTGATCCCTTTGGCACCTCCTGATCACACAGGCTGCTGTGTTCTTCCATGTGAGCTTTGTTGCTTCTGAGCTAGATGGCCGCTTGTTTAAGACCCCAGATACTATATCTTTTGATAGCAGGGCACCATCAGCTTTCTTCACCACATTTGCTTATTCACCTGCTTTGTCTTCAGCGGTTGTGTCTGGAAGGTGAGCATCATAGAATGCCAATTTAATAGAAGAAAGCATTCTTGCATTGAGGGAGTACGTGAGTGGAAGCCTAATGTCCTTCTGCTACCTTAATACTAAACCTATACATATATGCACATAGATCTATTTCCCCATCCTCATCTATAAATACATTTGCATATGTACATGTCTTTATCTAGACCTCTATAAATGCCCTTTGCCTCCCAGCTCTTTCCTCTATTTCCCTTGACTTTCCTCCTGTCCCATTATCATGCTCATTCTCCAGAGTTTCAGTAGTTCCTCTTTGTTATATTCCCCTTGATCATGCCCTACCAGGCCTCCCACACCCACCTCACCACCAATTTGGGTCACTTGTTGTTCCCTTGTCCCTGGGTTTGTTAACACCACTTCCTTTCACCCTACTTCCCCCTCTCCCATGTCCCCCTGGAATTGCCGGTCCCATTGTTTTCTCCTCCAGATTGTTCATCCAGCCTATCTTATTTAGACAGACCTGCGGAGATAATAGCATGCACAAAAACAAGAGAGAGCAAAACCAAGCAACAATATACAACAAAACAACAACAACAACAACAAACCACTGGCAAAGACAAAAACAAAACCCAACAAGAAACAAAAGCTTGCAGTGGAACAGCAAGGGAATGGAGCGGCAAGTTCCCCAGGGAATGCTGAAGGTGGATTTTGGGGCCAGGGCGTGGTGCCCCAACAGACTGGACTGGAAAACACTCCTAAAGGCCAACAAATGATCCTTGAACTAACTACAAGCTTTTCTTTCTTGTTGTGTTTTGTTTTGTTCTTTGTCAGGGATTCATGTTATTATTGAGAATGATTTAGTCTTCCCAGAGGCAGCTTTAACCCAGCGCTTTAGAAACTATTATGGAATTGAACCACCATTTCAATAATATTTTCTAAGACATAATACTGATAATTATAATTCTTTAAAATGACTTAAAATAATTCTGCTTGTGGAATGTTATCATATTGCAATTTGTTCTTATGGATGTTTTTCAGGTGGCAGTGAATCATCCTGGGATAAAGATAAGATTCAGTCTCCTCTTGCTTTGCCTATACCCCAACATGGAATTTCTCATGGACAGCAGGGCCTTGGGGTTGCTTCTACTCTCAGTCCACTGCAGCAGAACCATCTGTTGACAAATAGTATGTAAACTTTTTCCAAAAATGGGGTGTTGAAAATTAACATTCACAACTCATGAATAACTTGAGCTTGTAGACTAGAAGAAGAGGGATTTCTAGAATGCAGGTCTCTTGGGAAACCCGCTAGCAGAGTAGTTAAGAATATTGACTAAAGTCACTGTTTAACTTCAGAAAAGTTACCTAACTTTTTCATGTATGAGTTTTCACAACTGTAAAATAGGGACAATAATGCACTCACTTCTTAAGATTATTATAAAAGCTAAAAATGAGCAAGAAAAAGCTGTTACTGGCATACAGTTAAAACTGTGTACATTTTAACTATTATTATTATTCAATAAATTGATTACTGCCTTTAAGGCTCACAATTCTGCAACAAAGAAGGACTTGTATATATTACTTTTAATGTTCTACTTTTCTTTGTTGCCCTGGTGACATAGTACGTTAAGCTTTGGGCTACTAAGCACAAGGTCAGCAGTTCGAATTCATAAGTTGCTGCAAGTGTTATTATTTCTTTGCCTTGGCCTTTCTTTTTTCCACTAAATACTGGGATTAAGAGAGCACAGTGGTTCCTGGGATATTTTACTATAATGTCCCAAACCAAGCATGTAAAAATATAATATGGTGTCTTAATTTAAATTTATAGTGTCCAGGGTGAAATGTCCCTTACGAATTTGAATGTTAAGGAAATCAAATAAGAAATATGCCAGAGAATATGTAAACATTATACAAAACCAAAGATTGATAAACTAAGGTAGGCTCGTGCTTTAAAAGAGGAGGGGTTTTCCCACAGCCAAATAAATTAGGTTCTTGCTGTTGTTGTTGCTGTTAGATGTCGTTGAGTCGATTCTGACCCAAAGAGACCCTATGTACTACAGAAAAGAACATATCCTGCACCATCCTCACAATTGTTATGTTTGAGTTTATTGTAGCAGACACGGTGTCAATTCATCTCATTAATGTCCTTCCTCTTTTTTTCCCATTAGAAAGGCAGATGTCAGAGGGAAGCATCAATATCAGTGGAGATTGAGTTGAATTATAGCTGTAGAAAACTTTAGGTAGTTTAGAGAGGCTGGAGTATTATGGTGAACGATTAAAATTGGTCAGGTAGTTAGGCAGGCAACAGGTTAGTGAAAAGTATGCACTGAAGGTGTAAAGGCAAATAAAAGAAAATATGCAATACAAAATAAACAGGAAAATAAGATTTGGACATGGGTGTATGGACAGTTGAACAAGGGCAGTTGGAAGATAATATAGAGTTTAACATGAATTGAAAATCTAATGAACTTAGTTTAAGAATTAAAGGATGGCTTAAGATTGTAGCCTTAGTGGCTAGGAAAAAGTGTTTCCATATAAAAAAATTAAATTACAAGAGTTATTAGAGTAACAAGATGCATTAAAAACAATGTTTACAGCCATCTATATAATATCCCCGGGGATGCAAGAAAAGAAGTAACCCATTTTGCTGATTTATTAAAATGACTTGTTTTCATTACATGCTACTGAGTCTTCTCTGTATATTTCTAACATGTGACTAAAGAGGTATATTGCTGGAGCATTGTGTACTCTGGACTATTAAAGCATTTGAGAGCAATATTTGATTTTTTTTTACTAAATGGAGACACAGATAGATACTGTTCACTCATAGTTTCAGCAATTTGTGCCTAAAACACTCTACATGAGTATACACAAAGAAAAATGAAACTGTGACTATTTGGGGTTTATTGAAAGTGGAGTCTTATATTGAAACCTAGTTAAATAAATGAATTTTGGGGGAACATGTTCCACATAAAATGTGAATTTTGGTGAAATAAAAATAGTAATTAAAACAGTTATTAATTTACAAGAAAAAAGAAAATGCTCTAACATTTATTGTGGTGCTGATTGTGAAATTCTTTTTAATGTGATTGAACTGTTGGATTTTATGATACATGAATTATATACCAATAAAATTGTTAAAACACTAATTAATTTATTAAATGGTTATTTTAATATATGTTATCTAGGAAATCCTAACAAAACCTGAACTTGTATAAAGTGTGCAGAAAGATGAGGATTTTTACTCCTGTAAAGAGTTATAGTCTCTGAAGTCTATAGGGGCATTTCACCCCTCTCCTATAGGGCTGCTGAGTCCATTGATTCTATAGTAGTGCATTTACTTTAGGTTTGGTGGAAACCTGTGAGAAAAGGAAACTTCAATTATTTTCCACTAAAAATAAATGATAGAGAGGTGGTAGGAGTGCATTCTGTTAAAGGCAGAAAACCAACAAGTCCTTGAAAATCAAGACTTCCCTGTCAATTTCTAACTATTATAGGTTCTACTCTACAACATCTCACACATATAACCTATACTATATGATGAATACAGTGTGAAACACATATGCATCCAAATAATTTTATAAGACAATTAAAACAAGCATTCAATTCTAAAAGGGCATGAGGAGAATCATTTTTCTTAGTCTGGGTTCTCTATATTAGAAAAAATTATTTTATATATATAAAATTATATAAACAATTTATATATATATATATATATATATATATATATATATATATATTCAAGAAAATGGCTAACACAATTGTATCTGGTTGAAGTCTATGGATCAGATGTTTACTCGAAACTATTCCTGAGTTGTGTAGCTGTGGAGGGTGATGAACCAAAAACCAGGAAGACTAATAGGAAGATTACAGCTTGGTGGATGCATAAGCAGATGAATCCATTATAAGGAGGTCAGTCTTTTGCCTGCAGAGTACAATGAATCCAAGGTCAGCAGGTCAAATGACAGGTCAGATGGCATGCCACTTGTAGCTCCCAAAGTTGACAGGCAATATGACGGGCTGTTGACCTAAATTCAAAGCACTAAAGTTCAATGAGCCAGATAAAGGAACAAGACCTAACAAGAAACATCCCAAATACTAATCAATAGAAGATGGCTAAAGAAATTTTGGTACATACACCAAGTGGAATATTATGCATCACTAAAAAGCAATGATGCAGTCACAACATACCTGATGACATGTGTGGACCTGGAGAACATTATGCTGAAAGAAGTTCGTCGATCACAATAGGATAAACTATGTATGAGACCACTAATATATGCATAAAAACCAAGACAGACTTACATACCAAAGGAAACAGACTTTGGAGATGGCCAAGAGAGCAGGGCAAAGGAGGGAAGATGAAGCAACAGACTAGAGAGATGAGCGGTTTTGACTTTGGTGAAAAAGAGATGGACACGCACAAGAGGTCAAAGAAAATGGGAGCGGTGGTTGACAAGCAGTTTGAACTGATGAATACAGCGCTGATGTTCTGAAATGTTAACCCTTCACCTAATTCACAATAAAGAGAACTTTAAAGTAGGAAAATACTACTAATAAAAAGGAGTCTCTGAAACCCACAGGGGCAGTTCTACCGTGTCCTATACGATGTCTATGAGTTAGACTCTACTCAATGGCTGCAAGGGCTTTTTTTTTTTTTTTTAAGACTATTCACTGCTGTTTTCTTTCTATTGTAAAATGAAAATATAATAAACAGAAGAAACTAGCTGATGATCAATTTATGGAGGAACCATATAAACTTTACCAATCATGGAGCTTTTCTAGATGTTCCAAAACATATGTTGGAAATTACTGGTTTCTGAACATATGTCCAAAATCCATTTTAAACGCTATGGTTTTGCTAGCTGTCAGGTAACATGCATAAAGTTAAGCTAATTTTCCATTTTCTAACTAAGAGGAATCTTCTCACACAAACCCTATAGTAGTCAACTATTTTGATGTTTGACTCTCCAGTGTTGCTCTACGTCATGTAGAGTCTACATGATGGCATATCTGTGACTACTACAAAAGAATGTGGATAGTGCCCGAGTGTTATTCTTTAAGATATTTAAAATGCCTGAGAAAGCTGCTATTGCACCTGAACAAAGAAACAAATAGAATTCTAGATATTGGTATTTTGTATTAGGCAGGAAAATGGGTTTCTATTTTTGTAGGAATATTGTCTCATCAAAAATTTCAAATTAGAGCTATATACATTAATTTTAGAGATTAAAAAAATTAATATAACGTATTCCAAATCTTATTCTGAAGCTTAGAAAATCTGTATCCTGCCTCACCAGTTATTTCTCTTCTAGGAAAAAATTAAGCTGGGAACTATCAACTTAGCAATATATTATAATGATGAAAAATAACATTACTTGCTACATTTACCTACAATGATGTTTGGATTAATTTTTTGGTTTGATTTTGTGAATAAAGACGATACATCTCATAATATTTGAGAAATGGGAGCAAGAAAATGGTCTATTCTGTGGGTATAAAATATTTTAAAATTATAAAACATAACATAATTAATCAGTTACATTAATTTCCCACAGAGATCTTATAATGCAGTAATACTTGAATTGTTTTAAAAGCCAGTAAGAATTAATTTAGATACTCAAAACTGTCTATCTCATTGCATCAATTTTTATGTGATTTCTTTTGTCAACATAATGTAAATAACAATTTTAATATGTACTGTCTCTTTTAGGACTGGATCTGCCATTTATGATGATGCCTCATCCTCTACTTCCAGTCAGCTTACCTCCTGCATCAGTTGCCATGGCAATGAATCAGATGAACCATCTTAATACTATTGCCAACATGGCTGCTGCAGCCCAGATTCACAGTCCACTATCCAGAGCTGGGGCCTCTGTTATAAAGGTAAGCATCATGATTTACAAGAGGAAAAAATGTATTATTTAATGTAAACTATGATAAAATATTAGCAATACCACTAGATTTTCAAAAGTGACACTCAGCTCGTTGGCTCACTTGTTTAGTGTACAGTATTGATGAGTCGTGTTTCTGGATAGGCCTCTTAGGCTTTTAAAGTTCATTTATTTGTTTTCATTCCAGGGTCAAAGATTATACCTTTAGTTCTATCTTCCTATTTGCAAACATGTGGTTAGGATGATGTAGATATGGCAATGCTGATTACAGAGTTAAAAATGTCTGAAAACTATTCCCACTGCTGGAAACCCAGTCGTAATCTTTGTAGTTTATTGTTGTTAGGTGCCGTCCAGTTGGGTCCAACTAAGAAGGACCTTACGTATAAAGAATGAAACACTTCCTGGGCCAGTACCATCCTCATAACTGTTATTATACTTGAGCCCAGTATTGCAATCACTATGTTAATCCATCTTGTCAAGAGTCTTCCTCTTTTTAATCACCTCTCTGCTTTACCAAGCAGAGTGTCCTTTTCCAGGGACCAGTCTCTCTTGATAACATGTCAAAAGAATGTGAGATAAAGTCTAACGATCCTTACTTCTAAGGAACATTCTGGGTGTATTTCTTTGCATTTTAGATCTAACCATGTGTATCGTAATATCAACTATACTGGTCTTGTAGTCAAACAGACCCAAGTCCAATTTTGAATCTCTCATTTTTGAGCTGATTGAATATGGTTATGACTCTTAACCCATTTGAACTTGTTTCCACATCTATAAAATGAAGGATATTGTAAAATATCTTAGTTATTTCATTGGTTGTCTGGAGAAAATGTGAGTAAAATATACATAGAAAAATACGAAGCATTAAATATGTATTATTATTTACATTATCATAGATATTAAAGCTATACTTTTCCAACGTTCAGGACCATTGAGTAATGTGGCACAAAGGAACCTTCACAAACAATCCTTTCTTTTGTGCTATCTTTGCCTTTTATCTGTTAATTCGGCACATGCCTCTGTGCTCCATCTCCAAAGTACCATGTGAGCTGCATTAAAGAATTTTTGTTTTCATTATGGGAAGGAGATCATTTAAGAATATAATGATCCTAAGCATATAGTTTGTTAAAGTCAAGGGTCATCAAGAAAGAGGAAACTCCTCGACAAGATGGATTGGCCTAATGGCTGCTACAATGGGCTCCAGCACAGCAACAATTGTGAGGATGACCCAGGTGACATTTCATCCTGCTATACATGGGGTCATTAGGAGTCAGAATCAACTCAATGGCACCCAACAACAACAAGCATATCGTTAATCAACGCAGTGCATTAAGGTATTCCTTCATTCCAACTAATATTGTACCCTTGACATAACCATGTTTTTGTATTAGGAAATATGAGAGAAATCGAAATGAATGAAGGACAGTTCTCATTTTCCAGGACATCACAGGTGAAATTAGAGATAAGCAGCAAGTACTCATATAATGAGTACTAAAATCAGAATGAGCCCTGGTGAGGTAGGCGTTATACATCGGGCTGCAATCCTATGGTCGGCAGTTCGAAACCACCAGAAGTTCTTCAGGAGAAAGACTGGGCTTTCTACTCCTGTGAAGAGTTACTGTTTTGGAAGCCCACAGGGGGGTTACCACGAATCAACATTGACTCAATGACAGCGAGTTTGCCAGAGCGAGAGAATGTGATGGAAAGCACAAGAGAATCACGAAGTCTTATAGGAATTCAGAGAAAGCAGAGATCACACCCAGTATTTGAAGGGATCAGAAAAGAAGGCATTGTGTTTAATGGATTGGAACTTGAACTTGACATTATTAATTGATAGACATTAGGGTGAGAGTAGCAAAGCCGAAGAAATGGGAGGTTTTGAACATATTTGTTCAATTTTACAATTAACTAACAGTTTTCCACTCACTGCTATCATAGGTGATGCTGACTGCTAGTGACCCTGTAGAACAGGGTAGAACTGCTTCTGGAAGTTGCCCAGGTGTAACTCCTTTGGAGTAGGAGGCCTCTTTTTTCTCCCACAGAGCACTTGGTGGTTTTGAACTGGTGACCTTGAGGATCATAGCCTGAGCCTCTCTAAAACAATGAAGAAAGTTGAAAGCTTTGTAGGAAAAAAAATCGAGCTTGATAATTTTTAATTAACATTATAAAATTATTTGAATATATATTCATAGTCAAGTAAAAGAGCTTGCTTTAAGGATTGTGGTCTTTACTGGGTTATTTTAACCCAGTTTATGAAAGACTGTTTCTTTTAAACATTGGTTTGTCTTTAAAAACAATCATCCAGATTTAACCAGCTCCATTTTAGTTGAATCTTTAGGACTTTCGGAAACTTTGTGAAGCATTTGATCCAAGATGTACTTAAAGATATTACTCATGAATAATATTTGGTATTAATAGTAATGATGATGGAAATTTAAATAGTAATAATCACCTTAAGCCAAATATTTTAGCTTGTTAAAGCAATATAATTTATTTTTATTTTTGTTTGGTCTATTGAGTATGCAGTTTTTTAGAAGAATAATGTAAGTTCTCTCTCAAGCATACATTTATATGCTGCTTTTAAAAAGTTAACATCAGATCACATGTATATTTAAGTCCTGAAAACTACTCAGAAATTATTTTATATTGTAGAGAATGTAGGTCCATTGTTTTATATAATTTATAGGCTAAAGTTAGTTGATAAAAATTTTTATTTTATAAATCAGAAATACATTTTCTTCAGAGAATAGTAGAGTAATGACAAGTTTAACCAATAATTTCTTTTAAGTCACTAGTAAGAAGTTTTTAAATATACTTGTATTGTTTGTTTATGACAAAACAGTTACTGTATAAATCATCATTAGTGATTTAAAATATTAATTACTAGGAAATACCACCATAAAAAATTCTCTAAGTATTTGACAAATAGGCATTTGTGTGTTTAAAGCTTCATCTCCTTCTAAAATTAGTCATCAATACAGTGCTAACTGTAACATTACCGGATTAAGTTTCACTCTGGTGTACGAGTACATAAGGTCTGCTGTGTGAGTATATATGAGCTGTGACCAACTCTACATCACCTAATCATAATATCTAATTGCCTAATGATAACAACAGAAAGTTCACATGTATGTTGATCTCTATTTCACTATAAAATGTCCTTCAACGTACTTCTTATTGAGCACCTTCAATGCTCAATATACTATAATTCTGCATGGATCAAGTAGATATATGCATTGAGTTATCATCATCTATTAATGTTTGAGGTATACAGAAGCATTTGCCCTATTTTCGTTTAAAATTTCTGCTGCCAGCTGCTTAACATTTAAACTTTTTAATTCTCATTACCAGATCTTTTATAACATTTAAATTAAAGTGATCAGTAATTTTCTATCATATTTACCATTTAGACTTCAACTATTCTAGATCAGATATTTTCATATATAATATTCATAAATTTTTCTTTAAAAATTTTAAAACTGTTCTAAAATAAGGAAAGGCACAAAATCATCTTTCTAACTATAATATAATATGTTGTTATTGTACGGTCTCTCCCTGGCATATGTGGTTAAAGACTTTCCAGGGGTTTTCGTTTTAAATCTTTCCTTTCTGCGATTTCAAACTTTGCTGAAAATAAACCAAAAGAAATCTGTTTTAGAAGCGATGTAGACACAGTAAGAAATCGATTTAAATTGTAAGAGCTCAATGTTTAGTTAAATTACGATTATTGAAAATTCAAAAAATGTTACCATACTTATTGATATCTTCACATTATTCCTAATGTTTTCATGTGTATGTTTTTTATTTTCGAGTAAAATATTCTCTTTATCTATATTATTTTAACAAGACCTTGGATTAAATATTAAGTAGAGATAACTGTGATAATGAAACAAGTTTTCAATTCTGAACATCTGTTGCTATTCTACAGGATGGTTTGCATAACACAGATGTCTGTGCTAAATTTATAAATAGACAAAGGAATTATATATAATATTTTGAAAACATGTTTTGTAGAATTTCCTGTTATTTTCTCAAATCCTGATTTTAGAGTCATGGCAAGAAGGAAAATTACACATAATAACAACATTTTCTATCTTCTCTGTGCTTAAGTTTTTACTAGTAAATAATTTATCAGTGTGATATGTTTGCTTTGAATTTCCCAGGTTTTTTTTTTTTGTTTAAGGAAACTGTGGGAATGCAGACACTGCGTTTAAAGAGTATAAAGTATAAAGAGGCCTCTAGCTTGTTTGGCCTACCACCCGCTTTAAATAAAAATTACTCATGGTGTCCCGGATAGTAGTGCTGAACATTTTGCAGCACCCTGGAATCATTCCAGTGTCCGCTGTGAGGTGCTCTCACTCCTTTGGGAACCGTGGATTTTTATAATGAGAAAGTCTATAGAGGGCTACAAAATATTCATGCAAAAGTTTCATGATCTTCGATTCCACTTTTGCATGAACTTTTTGAAGCCCCCTCATACTTTTGTTCATTTCAGGTATTTTATATTCAAGTGCACACACACATACTGTACTTATTTTTGACCTTAAATTTTGTCTAGTTAGATAATGTTAAGTATTATAATGAAATAAAAACCTTGAATTAGTATAATGGATTTGTATTGTTTTTTTAATTTTCTATTTGAGGCCACATACAATTGTGTGCCTGTAATCCAAGTATCTAAAAATAAATAAATTTAAAGCCCTCTAATTTATAGAATTTGCCAATTTTCATGGTGTAAAATACTCACACAGTGGCTGTTTTCAAACTACCAGTAGTATAGCAACTGGCTTAAAACTTACTGAATATTTAATAATTGACTCTAATTTGAACAGGCTACAAGATAACACTCCTACTTCAAAGCAAAGAATTATATCAAATGTGAAATATTTAGTAAATCAACCCCATGCCAATTTTCTCCCATTCACATTAACAAAAGCAAAACAATCTTTCAAATCAACCTACCTTACATTTTTTGTTTATTTAGAAATGTTT